AACCAGTCCAGCATTCCAGGCCGGTAGCCAGGCCAGTATGAAAGGGGTTTTTGCAACAGGGCGAGCTTACTGGGGGGCCCTACATACTACATACACCTGGCTATCAACATTTGAGTGAACCTCTGGCAGGTATAGCTCTACAATGTCTAACAATTTACCTGCCTAAATTACTAACAGTAAAGGTCAACATGTAAATGCCAAAGCTGTCAAGAGCCACAATGGCCGGGCCCATGACACTACCAACATGGAAGAATGCCCACTGTGACACGATGAAGGTACCATCTGGTGCGTGCCTTACAAACAAGACTTCTGCTCAATGCAGGTCTACAATGTAGGTTGATATTTGGACTCAAGTTGCAGTCATAAAGAAAGAATTTTACATTACTTTGGAACACACTTTTAGCATTTCTTTTCCCTGCTCTTTGTACTGCAAGCTGCATGAAATTAAAGCACACTGTTGGTTTACTGCTGTCTTAACTCCTTCCCAGGCCAGCATTGCGGACAATCACATTGTTGACAACATCTTGCAAAAGTTCGTGCTAAAATTGATATGGCAATACTGCTTCAGTGCTGCTGATATCGTTGATAAGATTATTCTCCTCACAGGAGTGAGAAGAAACTGACCGATCATCAGTGTTGCTGTCAGGAAACACACTATGCTGGGACCGCTAGGCTCAGAGTCTGACATCATTGTGTATATGCTACAGCAGCAAACAGTTGACTCCCACATACTACATGTAAGTCACAACTTTTAAGATTAGCCAGATCAATTTGATGACTGTTGTTTTTCTTTTTGTGTCCAGGACTCCAAAACTATAAACTTTTTTTCGCATTCAATTTGAAGCACATCTTTTTTTTAAGGGAGAATTTGTCTCTGTGAGATATGGCTCTACTCCAGAACATTTATAAGCATACAGCATACTTTGCTCAAAGTGTAGATTATTTTTACAAATCTACAGTAAACTGTACATTTGTAAGTTACTAATCTATGGTCATTATTACAAAACAATTACTGTAGATTCGTAAGACTATTGTCTGTAGATTCATTACAAATCAACAGTTGTATTAGATTCGTATCGATGGGGAATTTCACCATGAATACGCGTAAAACGTTGTTATCACATGGACGCCATTTTGGTTGGACTACGCCTGCACATGTCCAGTGCCCTTTAATTCACAGGCACAGGTGCCGCGACAAGCACAAGCACACACATTAACGTGCACACTCAAATGGCGCCCATGGTGATAACACCTTTATGGCCGAATTACCCATCTTGCGCCGCTATGCAGCACTATATAATCTTTGGTACTCACGTCTACCCCTCCCCCCTCGTTTTGATCATCAAAGTGTGATATAGCATTCCTCAATTTCATAGAGTCCTGTGGTGATTTAAGTCTGGAAGGTTTCGCTGCAGTGACACACATATAATAATGAATGAATGAATAATGAATTGTAAATTTGTGCAAGAATGGGTGAGGCAAAGAGCACAAATCTACAGTTCCTCATCCATTTTCCTTGACTGAATTTTTGACTTTGAACAATTTCTTCTGATTATCACGGTAAGTATGAATAATTTTACAACTGCTGCCTGCAGCGTAGGAATCCATGGTGTTTTGTACACTCTCGGGGGATATGGCAACCTCGACTCTGACTGGAGTGCCATTTGCCCCTGAAGGTGTACAAAACCCAAGGACCCCAACACGGCAGGCAACAACAGGAACACAGGAATGGTCTTATATGTAATTATATTTTATTGCAAGGTAAATTAAAACACTTTGACAAATTTAAAACTTGAACAGCAAAGTAAATATTAAATTACATGGAAAACTATTGATTGTGGTGTCCTTTATTGACATTTTTTGGGGGGGAGGAGTGAGAAATCTAGGATTCATAACGAACTGGTTTACTAGACAAACCTGGAATTTAAAGGCACTGGGGTTTTGTCAACTGATTGAATTTAGTTACACCAAATTCCGTTGGAAAATATTGACAAGATTGAAGAGCAGACAAGAAGAGACAACGGCATGAGCGTTTTATATAAGCAGCAAGGGCGATCACAGCAGAAACAGCGAACAGAGCATACTCGTGTTCCATGAGAATAGCTGGGTGCATGAACCAAAGTTCAATAACCCATAGGTCTCTGTCATGGTCAGAGTGAAGAGAGTAGCACATGCAAACAGACACAATGCTTCAATGTCCCCCATACAGTGTTCATCTCCTATAACAATTGGCACGTACCCAAGATACCACAATTACAATGAAGCAGTCTTGAAACATCTACTGTGGGAAAGATCCCTGTTATCCATCATTTTTTGTGGCCTATCACATGATCACAAGGGCGTCCATCTGTTTTGGAAAGTGGAGGGGACATAGCCCTGATCAGAACAAATGTGAGCGCGAAGTGTGAAGCCCTGAGCGGTGTGGGGTCTGTGGCTCGCGCAAGGGCCCCTGAAAATTTTGGAGTATAGATGCTCTGTGGTGTGATCTGAGACAATTTCTGGTTACTTTAGTCATTTTTTTTAAAATGCTTTTGCAAGATATACATTTTCATTTAGGTTTTGGAAAAAACGATCGACGCCATGCTTGATCAATTCGCGACCAATAAATATTCACTTTCTATGAACAGGCACAAGAAGTTTGTCAGGAATTCACACTGGGTGTTATTCATGAAATACATCCTGGCATTAGAACCTCAAGTCTGCATCAGAATTTGAGTCTGCATTTTCTCTCAACTATCCTCCTTGACTTTTGATTCTTTCAAGTCTGGACTGAACCAAAGTACCCAAGGTCAGACAACTACTGTTTTCTTGTGCATTAATGCATAATGACCTAACACAGTCTTTACTGAGTGGAGCATAATACCTGTTCTTATAGTTTAGCAGGTACTGTAGGTGACTGCATACATGTGTGTCATAATTCTGCAAAGCTTCTTGGAATAAAGCTATGTCAGCTGACTTCCATTTCCTAAACAAAATTTCTTTTGAAGTCAACCAGGGTTCACTAAACTCAGTGCGACACCTGGCAGCAAAATGATCAGTAACATGTGCATTGAAAAGAGAGACATTCCCAACATTCTCAATTTTCCTGCTGATAGGGCTGAGAGTATGTGCTAATCTATGAATGGATTGCCTCCCAAGCTACAGCAAACCAAAACACTTCAGCAATGCAGTCAGTTAAATCATCCAAATGAACATTAAAATCACCAATTG